ATGGAGTCCCCGTGCGTCCGGTCCGACATAGGATCGAGTTGATTGAAGGTAGCACTCCTCCAAAGGGTTGTGTCTATCGAATGGGCTCAGGCAAATTGGAGGAGTTGCGAAGGCAGATTGATGAAATGATTGGGAAGGGATGGATCAAGCCGAGTGAGTCGGAGTTTGGTGCACCGGTGTTGTTTGTCCCTAAGAAAGGAGGTAAGTTGCGGATGTGTATTGACTATCGCGGGTTGAATCGGATCACGAGAAAGAATGCATATCCTTTGCCACGTATTGATGATTTGCTTGATGCTGCGGGTGGGTGCAAAGTCTTCAGCAAGATCGATCTCAAGTCTGGCTACCACCAGATCGAAGTCGATCCTGCGGACCAGTACAAAACCGCATTCAAAACTCGCGATGGGTTGTACGAGTTTACCGTCATGCCCTTCGGTCTCACGAATGCGCCAGCCACCTTTCAAAGTCTCATGGRCAAAGTGYTCCGCCATCAGATTAACCRGTTTGTTGTTGTTTATCTGGATGACATACTRATCTTCAGCAAATCRATGGAGGAGCACATGAGACACCTTGAGGAAGTGATGCARATCCTSAAGGACGCGCAACTCCATCTCAACTTGGAGAARTSTGAGTTTGGGARGGACAGCGTCATCTACCTTGGACATCGGTTGTCTGTTGCAGGCCTAGAGCCCGAGGCAACCAAGGTTGAGGTCATCCAAAAGTGGCCCCAACCTGCGAATGTCCGCGAGTTGCGTTCTTTTCTTGGTCTTGCGTCGTACTACCGTAAGTTTGTGCCTAAATTTTCTATCATTGCCCGTCCATTGTCCAACCAGTCTGAGTCTAGAGCCTGTACGGGTAATATCAGGGTCTGCAATGATGTTTCCCTCCGAAACGGAGGAGGTACCGGTTGCTTGGACAGGCCGAGCGGCCTGGAAGTCACCGCCCAAGAGCCAAGCAGGCCGCTATATCTAGAGGCGGAGGCAAGAGCTCCRCCTCATTCTTCAGTGTGCGAGTTGGACGTCACGCTGCTGGAGCGCTAGGTGGTGAAGCGCTGGGCACTACAGCGCTGCTGGGAGGAAGAAGCCGGGAGCTTCCACCTTGGCTATGGTGGAGCTCTACCGGTAGGAGGAGGAGGGAGAAGGGGACCAAGGAGGAGAGTGGCGAGGTACTTACTGGCTATGGTAGACACAATCTTCATCTCCTTGCTAGGCGCTGCATCAGGAAGGCCCCAGTGGGGGTAGTGCCGCATCAAGGAAGCTTGGACAGAGTCAGGCATGGCGGTTGAGTGGGCAGCGACATAGCTGCTGGGGGATGACCTTAAAGTGGGCAGCGGCATAGCTGCTGGGTGATGACCTTAAAGTGGGCAGCGGCATAGCTGCTGGGTGATGACCTTAAAGTGGGCAGCGGTATAGCTGCTTGGGGGTTTGTCTTTGGTACTGGAGGCTGAAGCCTCAGTTGTCCGCCATAGCCTCGGCCTGTATGTGGAGGGAGAAGAAGGGCTGCCATGGCTATGGTGGACCTCATCTTGTGCCTGCAGTAGAAGTGGGATTCGGACWTTGATTCTGGTTCAGCTGTTCAACATTATTATTGTTTATTTATTGTTTGAATAAGAGAGGAGGAGATAA